CCGCGTGGCCCTGCATCAGCGGGCGCTGGGGGTCGGGTGGAGGGAAAGGGCGCGCGGGGCCGGCGGCCGAGCCTTCCGGTGGGGTGGCCTCGTCGCCCACTCCCACGGCGCCCGCCTCGCCGCCCAGGCGCACGTAGTGTGCGGGGATCACCAGGGTGGGCATGACGTTGCGGTACACGTTGTCCTTGAGGTGGTCGATGGAGCCGCAGAAGATGAGCTGCCCGGGCTGGCTGAGGGACGGCGGCCGTGCCAGCTGGTCCACCGACTGCGACAGCAGAAAGTCAGGGGTCTTGCTCTCGGTCGCCCCCTTGTGGCCTAGATAGTGGTCGAAGGACGGCGGCGGCGAGGGCGGCTCGTGCAGGAAGGCCGCGGCCCCCGCGGGACCCCGCCGGTACTCGTCCAGGCTGGGCTCCAGCCCTCCAGGACCCTCGACGGAGCGGGCGCTCTTGAGCCCGCCACCGTCGCCGCTGCGCGTACCCGGAGGCTCGGCGGCCGGACGGCTGGCGGAGCGCGGTTTGGCACGGAAGAAGTCATCTCGGGAGGATGCTAAGTCCCGGGAGCTGGAGAAGGCCGAGTGTAGAGAGCCTGGGGGCGGGGCCTCGGGGTCTCCCGAAGACGTAGGCTCCAGGGGTCCCCCGCAGATGAGGTGGAGCTGAGACATCGACGTGGCCTGATCCCGTTTGTTGTCCGAGGGCCCGGAGAGCTGCAGCTTGCGGTGCTGTTGTCTTGGCTTCAAGCAGCGTCTCCTGGAGAGGAGGAGCGAGACGAGACAAGACCTCGGGAATGCTGAAAGCAAAGGTCTCCTTAAACCCCACAGTTGCCAGCACAAGGGATGGATCGTGGATGATGCTTGGAACATTCGAGATAGGTGGGGGAGAGGGGGATCCCGCTAGATGATGCCTGGAAGCTGGTTGTAGAAAGACGATAACACATCCAGGAGCTTCATCCTTTCAACTTCATGGGGGTAAACTCGGTAACGCTTTGGCATGTAAACCAGCCAGAGTGCCTGCTCTGGGGGGATCCCCGGGGAGTGAGAGTTGGGTTGGTTGGAGCAGCTGGATAGTCTCCGCAAGGGGCAAGGCCCGCAGGTCCTGCCGTCTGTCACCCCTCCCTGTAAAGCTACCAGCCTCTCGGGTCTGAGGCCTTGTATTGCTGTTCTTTCCCGGAAGCCCACTGAGGATCAGAATTGTGCTTTCTGCGTCTTTGGGACCCCGGTGCAGGGATCCTGGGAGAGAGGGCGGGCGGGTGGGTCCCGGGAGCACTCACCGGCAGTAGTATATCAGTAGACACAGCAGAATGAGAACCAGAAGTGCGAGAGCGGCCAGGATGGTCAGCAGGAAGATTGTGTGGTAGGTGCCGATGTCCTGGATGCCTGAGGTGATGGTAACCAGCCCTGTGCCAGGCAAGGGCTTAGGATGCCCTTCCTGCCTCTCACAGGGCCTGAGCTCTCCCAGCCTCTCCTCCCACCACTGCCTACTGCCCCACCTCCCCGCCAATCTCACCAGACGTAGGGGAGGCCATGGCAGCCGCCCAGTACCCCAGCTGTGGGGAGACAAAAGTCCAGTAGACCTGTCGGCCTTCCTTCCGAATCACACCGGTGCCATTTCGGACCCACAGCCCTGGAAGAGGCCAGAGGAGTTCGTTTGTCAAACTCGGTGTCCTGCCACCTCTCACCTGAGCCCCACATTCCTTCCCCGACCTCCTGCAGCCCTGCCCCTAACACTTACCGCTCTTAGGGTCAAATCTCCAGGCTGGAATGCTGGTGCCCACAGCCAGGGCACGAGGCTCCGAGGGCACTGGCAGGGACAGGTGAATGGGGCCCGAGAGCGGCACCTCTGTGCCATTGCCCGTTAGCAGGTGTACGCTCACAGCAGCCAGGGGGATCAGCTCCAGCCAGGAGCCATTGCCTGAGGGAAGAGGACACTGGCACTAACGGCTAAGTCCCTAGGTAAGGAAGGGGTCTCCCCTCTACATTCGGGACATGGCCTACCTGAGCTGGAGGCCTCGGTGCCCAGGAAGGCAGGGAAAGCCCGCATTTCCTGCTGGGAGCTGGCGGGGGTGAGCGAAGCCCAAAGCTGGCTGTAGGTAGAGCTGACAGGCAGGCGGGCCGCTCTGCGCTGGAACTGCACCCAGGGCTGGGAGCGGGCACCTGGATGGAAAGCAGGCACTATGGCAGCCTGACCGGACCGACGCAGAGTGCAAACATCCAAAAAAAGGGAACCACTGGGTTAGGCCAACCAAAAAGGCCAGGGTGGTGATGGAGAGGAACGGGTAACTTGAAGGGATGTGGTACTGAAACCTCCATGTCTGGCGACTATGTGTGTGACCTTCCACAAATTACTTGCTTTCTCTCAAGTTTCCTTATAAACTTATAAAACGGTGAGGGTCGTGGGGCTGAAGAGAAGGCACAGTGGCTTAGAGAGTTGACTGTTCCCGCAGAGGCCCAGAGTTCTGTTCCCATCACCTACATGGCAGCTCACAACCATCTGTAACGCTGGTTCCAGGGAACCCAATACCCTCATCTGACCTCCATAGTTTCTTGAATGCACATGGTGTGCAGAAATACACTCAAACACATACACACTCACACACATACACACACACACACACACACACACACACACACACACACACACTAACAACAATCATGTCCTGGGCTAACAGTGTCTTCTGAGTGGCAGGCATTTGAGTTAGGTCCCGGGATGCCGAGCTGACTAGGAGAAGACCCCCTATCTCCATTCTCACAGTATAGTGTGTGCTGTTCTTTACAGTTTCTCTAGAACCTTCTGCTAGGATGCTGCCCATTTAGTGCCCCCTGGATACACATGGCTGGTGAGCTTGGTCTGGTGGCACACACGTGTAATGTCAGCACTCGGGAGTCTACAGCAGAAGTCTTAAGCTAGACTGAACCAGAGTTCTGAGCTACTCTCAAAAATTAAAGAAAAAGAGAAAAGTGGCCAACGTGTGTGGCTGAGGAACTGTGGAATTTTATCCTTTTTAAATTTCCTGGCCAGGTGGTGGTGGCGCATGCCTTTAATCCCAGCACTTGGGAGGCAGAGGCAGGTGGATCTCTGTGAGTTCGAGGCCAGCCTAGTCCACAGAGCGAGTTCTAGGTCATCCAGGACTGTTTCACAGAGAAATCCTGTTTCAAAAAAAAAAAAAAGGCTGGCGAGATGGCTCAGAGGTTAAGAGCACTGTCTGCTCTTCCAGAGGATCTGAGTTCAGTTCCTAACATCCACATGGTGGCTCACAACCATCCATAATTCGATCTGGTGCCCTCTTCTGGCCTATAAACATTCATGTAGACAGAATACTGTATAAATAAATAAATATTAAAAAAAAAATTTTCCTTACCAGCTGGTGGTGGTGCACGCCTTTAATCCCAGCACTGGGGAGGCAGAGGCAGGCGGATCTCTGTGAGTTTGAGGCCAGCTTGGTCTACAAAGTGAGTTCCAGAACAACCAAGCCTATACAAAGGAATCTGTCTTGAAAAACAGACAGACAAAAGAAGTATATATTTTTCCTTTATTTTTTATGTGCATTTTGTATGTATTTATGTCTGTGCACCACATGTGTGCAGTGCTCTCAGAGGCCAGAAGAGGGCGTCAGATTTCCTGGGACAAGGTAGTTTGTGTGGCACCGTGCTGGTTCTAGGAATCCAAAAGGACCCTCGTACTTGGAAGAACAACCAGTGCTCTTAAGCAGTGAGCCATCTCTCCAGCCCCAGATAATTTCCATTTAGATAGACACACATTAGCTTACAGTGCTGTGTGTGTGTGTGTGTGTGTGTGTGTGTGTGTGTGTGTGTGTGTGTGTGTTTTGGGGCCGAGGGAGCAGACATATAAACAGAATTCCAATACAGTGTGATCATAGGTAACATTTATTAAACTTCAAAATATTCTGGATACTGTCCTAAGCAGGCTATGTATAGTAACTCCCTTAATTAGCCTAGCAGCCCCTGAGGTATCGACTCCATTTTATAGACGCAGAAATGGAGCCAGAACTTCAGAAACGTATCAGGACCACCATCCTGGAGCCTGGCCTTGTCACCCCACATCCCTCCACACAAGCCCATCCCAACTACATGTTGGGAGCCTGGCCCACCCTCTGCAGTTTTGTAGGGTAGGGGAGTAAGGGAGTGGACTTGCTTTGGGGGACACGCAGGAGAAAGGCCCAGAGGTCACAGGCTACAAGGGGGTAGTGGTTGCTCTGTCCTGCAGGGTGCTGCCAGCTCTGAAGAGCTCTGCACTTCACACGGAGGGCTGTGGAAGCCACGAGAGGGCAGAAGTACTGGGACAAAGATCCATTTGACATTTTGGAATCCCTGGGGGGCAATGGAGGCCTCTGATATGGCGTCAAGTGAGCCCAAGATGGCAAGCTAGCAATTTGTCCATAAGGATTCCGTAAGGATTTAAACTGGGGAGCGGCCTTTCCGCTGGTCTGCAATCCCGGCCAGAAAGCACACTGAACCCCCACTGCCCCTTCTGCCTGCCGACTCACCACCCTCTCTCTCCAGCCAGGCGCCTCACCTCACCTGCCACCCCTAGGCCACGCAGCCGCTGCTCCTTTTATTAGCCCCACCCGGTTTCCCCCAAAGGTGAGGGGTGTTTCGGCCACTGTCTGCCTGCTCTGTAAACTCTCCCAGGATTGGCAGTTGTCTGTCTGTCTGTCTTCCCATTTGCCTAGGACCGTGAGGTGGGCTGTGGGTGTGTTCTCCCTCACCCTGTGTGCCAGCACCAGCCTTCCGCATGGCACGGAGCAGAATGTGAGCTGGGACCGAAGGCCTGTGCGCAGAGACAAGGAACACTGAGGATTGCCCCAGGCCACGGGATAGATGGTGAGCTGCTGTGGCAGGCCCTCGTGGCCTCAGAGCAGCCAGGCACCAGGAAAGTGCACGACAAATACATGTAGATCTACTGGAGATAAGCAGATCAGGGAGGCGGGACTTGGAGAATAGAAACTACAAAAAGGCCCCCCAAAAACTATAAATATTTATTGAACACTTGTTTTTTTTTTCTCTCTCTCTTAGCACATCTGATGCATTTTTTTTTTTTTAAAGCTGAGGATTGAACCCAGGGCCTTGCGCCTGATGCAATTTTTTTAACCTTAATTTGATGATGTATTATCTTTCCACATCTGATACATACATCAAGTACTGCTCAGAAAGGGTGAGTGACTTGCCCAAGGTCACCCAGCTACTGTGTTAAGAAGCAGAGGGTCTCTGCATACAGGTGAGGGCAGGGAGAGGAGCTATGGAGCGAACAGCGGGGTATCGCTTACCTGGAGAGCCTAGGAGGATGTGTACAAGGTCCTCATAGAGGATGAGGGTGGCTGGGCGCTCTGGGAGCAGGTAGAGGCTGACGGATGCGTATACTGCAAGAAGGGTGGCCCGTCAGCTCTAGAGGAAGCGCTCCCCAGATGCCGCCTTCATCCGCATCCCAGTGGCTTCATCCTCCCCGGCCCCTTCTCTATGCCCCAGCCCAGGCAGCAGCTGCTGGGAAGCTGCCCCCGCCACCCCCAAGGACTATTTTGGGAAGGGGCTGATGGTGGGTCAGCTGCTGCTCTGTCCCCACCCCCTCCACCTGCCCCCTGCACTCACGCGGCAGCTTGTCAACACGCCACGGCACGGAGTTGGTGAGGAAACCGGGGCGGGCAGCAGTGACCAACACCCAGGTGCCCAGGCGGTAACTGAGGGGTAGCGTGGCCACGCCCTCTGCGTCCGTGGTGCCAGCAGCCAGCAGAGTGCGGTTCCCAAACACGTCTACCGAGGCCCGGGCCAGGGGCACCAGCTCCCCGCTCACATATACCTGTACCTTGATCAGGATCTCTGTGGGAAGATGGGGTGAAGGGAGTGAGGATGAGAAGGGGGGACATTGGGGTTTGGGGGGGGCTGACTCCAGCGCAGTGCTAGGGGATATCAAATCCAGGCTCTCAGCACGGAGTTCAATCAGTGAGCGGCGCTCTCTGCCAAAGCCAGCAGTCCGAGCAGGTCAATCCGTTTCGCCAGCTCTAGCCCATGCACACTTTCAGGTTTCTGAGCTCAGGTGGTGTCTGTGATAAGTGATGTCATCATTATAATTTGACAGCATTTCCCGCACTCTTACTGGTTTCCAAAATAGGAATACATCTTACAGCCAAAGAAATGCTCTATTTGCTAAAATATGCCCTCAGCCCATTTTACAGATAAAGACAGTGAGGCTCAGAAAGTGTAATTTCTTGCACTACAGTTAAGTGAGAAATCGGAGTTTCAAACCTAGCAGTCTACTTCTAGAATATAAATATTTGGCCACTTGACCCTAAGAGACCAATGTCTATGGGGAGGAGAAGAAAGGCCAAGAATGAGTCAGGGGAGAATGAGGAGCTTCAGATGAAGAGGGTGAAGGTCAAGGTGAGGTAACTTGGAGGGAGGATGGGGGCTGGGTCCCCATTTGAGTTCTCAAGAAAGAAAAACAAAATTAAGATGCTAAGCTGTCTTAGGTCATCCCTATCACTCACCCTCACTCCAGGATCCTTTCCAAAAATCTGTTTCCCTTCAAATGTAGGGACCTGCCCCAGCTCCTAAGCCCAAACATGTATCTGGATCCCTCCCCTCAAGTCTATTAGCTGGTCAGCTACAGTCAGTCACCATGGCAACGCCCTCATTCCTCCCAGGAGATCAGGCAAGGGAGCTGGGGCCCGGGTGAGGAAGGGCTGCATGGGAAGCAGACCCAGGCCCAAGACCCAGACAATCCTGTGGAGGGGATTGGGAAGGAAGCATACAACTTCTAGATTCCCAGGCTGTCTGTGATCCCCGCCTCCAGGATAACCGGGTCATATTGGCCCTGGCAGTGAGGTGCTCTGGGCTTGGATGGGGTAATGAGGCCTTGAGTTACTCTCATGGATTTCCTCAGGCAGCCTCAGCCACCCTAACCCTCTCCACTCAGCACCAACTTCTCCCTCCAGACCATGCTCCACCCCAGCCTCCCCATTGAGTGTCATAGATGGAGAGGTTCAGACACAGAAGGCTGTCGGGGAATACACTGGGTGCTGGGTGGAAATCCCGGGTGGAGAAGGACTCCGGAGCTGAGAGCGGAGGGGGCGGGGGGGGGGGAGGTGTGGGCAGCCACAGAACCCCGAGAAGGCCTTTCCCGGAGGCTGCCACTCGACAGTGACAGCTGTCTCATCTCAGGCTTCCAATGCAGGGCACCACGCCTGTCCCTGGCATCCCATCCAGCTGTTCCCGGAGCCCACCTCCCTCTCCAGGCTAGGCCAGAGTCTAGCTCTTCAGGGTGGGGCGCCCACTCTGCCCACTTCCACTCTGGTTCTCCAAGGAGTGGCAGTCTCCTCTCCCAGTAGGAATTCTGAGAAGCTAAAAGATCCTGACTGCTCCCAGCCCTATCCTAGGCTGGGAACAGCTGGAGAGAGCAGCTGGCGAGAGGGGGTCCAGGAGTCTGAAATTTCGTCACTTGAGGGAAGCCTTTGGGCTCAAGGGCCCAAGCCTTAGAAGAGGGAGGGGTCCCGGGGAAACAATACAGAGGTGGGCAGGTAAGGCCCGAGGGGCGTCGGTGCCAAGGAGGTGGGGTAGGTGTCTAGCAGTTTCCCTCTTCCCCACAGCCTGGGCTCCCAGCCAGCTGCCTGAGAGAGCCCCCATCCTGGCTCTATTCCAGCTAATTCCCTGGGCCCTCCCTCCCCTGGGGTGCAGAGTCTTGTGGGCGGAGCTTCCTAGGAAGCTTGGGCCTCTTCTCTGGGAAATCAGGGGAGACTGAGGCACAGGGAGGGAAATCTCTCCCTACCCTCCAACCTTGACATTCCACGCAGTAGCTGGATCTCTCCACTTTAGCCCTGCCTCATTCCAGGAGGAAATCCGACCTCCTCGCTTCATCCGGACCCTACTTCCCTCCACCAGACACCCCCCACCTCCCGCCGCCGCCTTTCCTGATAGCTTCTGGTGTGTGTGTGTGTGTGTGTGTGTGTGTGTGTGTGTGTGTGTGTGTGTGGGGGGGGGGGGCTGTGTAAGGAACGAACACTGTTTCAGGACGGAGCCACAGGCAGGGGGAAGGTACAGCAGTAGTGGGGTGGTGGCGCAGGAACCTGAAATGTGGGAGACGGAAGCAGGGATGGGGAGGGTGGAGGTCCAGAGCATCCAGGACTGGGCTGTGGAGCCAGGGTCTCCAGCTCTCACCGCAGAGGCCAGCCCTACCCCCACCTCACACACCTATCTGAGCCAGGTTAGGCTTGAGGAGGGTCAGGGTCTCCTCCTTTTGGGGAGCGAAGGGGAGGATCTGGAAGCTGGCAGAGGAGGGTAGTGGCAAGAGACGGGCTGGACAAGGACCCAGACACCTGCCCTCTCAGCTGGTGCTGCCTACAGCCAGCCAGCCAGCTCAGCATGGTTCCGCCACCACAGCCTTGCCATGCGCCTTCAGCTGGGAATCACCATTACCCCTTCCCTCAGCCCCCACCACCAGCACTGCAGTCCCTCCCTCCAGTATGAGCTGATCAGTGTTTATTTGATGCACCCCAAATTCTAAACCTGGGGGGCTGGCTGGAAGCTGTCAGGTTCCTGGGTGAAAACCTCATTCGAGCAGTCAATCCCGCCCACAGCCTCACCCACTCCCCCTCTCCCCTCCTCCCTTGCAGCCCAGCTCTAAGCTCCCAGCCCCCGTCCGGCCCAGGGTGGCAGCCGATGCCTGCGCCCCCACCCAGCCTGGGTCGCGGCTAGGGACCCGCGGGGGGCTGCGGAGCGGGCGCCCGCCCCAGCCCGCCCCTGGGCGGGTGTCTTCCGCAGACAATAGCTCTGGCTGCAGCGCCTCGCGGACCAGGAGGGAGAAAAACAAGTCGGAGGAGGCGGTGGCGCCGAGCCTGGAGACCCTCGCCCTCCTCATTGTGTCTCCCCAAGACCCCCGCCGCAAACAGTCCCCCGTTCCCTCTCCCAGAAGCACCGATCTCGGGTCGCCTTCCCCCCATCCTGGGAGCAGAATGCACCCCAAGTCACTAGCACCGTGAAGAGGGGCGCCAGCGGTGGTAGCCGATCACCGGGCGCAGGCCCACGATCGCCTCCCCCTCGCGGCCGAGACTCACCCTGAGGGCTGGGGGGCTCCGGCGAAGACTTGCCGGGAGCCCGGGAGGCGCCGCCGAGCAGCAGCCCCAGCAGCGGCAGCAGCCGCGCGAGGACGCCGGGGCCACTCGGCGGCGGCATCGCGGGGCTCGGCCGGGCCCTAGCGGTCCATCGCTGCCTCCCGGCCCCGCTCGGCCGGCCCCGCTCAGCCCCAGCTCTGCACGGCTCCGTGCAGCTCGGGCTTGGGCTCCCGCTCCGGCTGCGGCGCCCGCTCGGCTCGATTGTCTCCGCCCGGAGCGGCCGCCAGCGCCCCCTGCAGTCGGCGCCCGGCACGGCGGGCCTGCGGGCACCGCCCCCTCGCGGCCCGGCTCTGCCTGCAGCCCACCCGACAGCCCCCCACCCAGCAACCCAAGACTCCAAACAGCAAGGGAGCGCAGCAATTAGGGGGCAATTACCCGGGTTGAGGTTCGAGAGCTCTTGAGACATGGTGTCAAATTGGGGGAGAGGGGAGGCTGGCCGTGTTGGAGAATGGCTATTGCTTACTCCTGAGGGCTGTGTGTGGTTCAAAAGGGTGAGACTCCCCTTCTCCCACCGGGACAGCTCCGCAGTGTTAAGGAGGCTGCCGTCTCCAGCACGGAGAAGTAGACCTGTGGTCGTGTCTGGCCTCTCTCACGTCTCCCATTCAGAAACAAGCTGGGCAAGACATGTCCCTCAGCCTTCAGGTCCTCACTCTGTTGGTTTGTTGGGCTGCAACTCACTAGGTAGCCCAGACTGGCCTCGAACTCATGGCGATCTTCCGGCCTTGGTTTCCGGAGTGCTGGGATTTCAAATGTGAGCCGCCATGGTCAACCTCACTTATCCTTTAAAATGACAATTATAATAATCTCTTCCTAGCAGAGTGGTTGGGGCGCCGGGGGTGGTGCCACGAACCTTTAATCACAGCACTCATCTCTGTGAGTTCAAAGTCACCTTGGTCTACACAGCCAGTCCCTGGAACTCCAACCCAAGTCTGACAGGAGCATGGGTGTAATAACGGGCCGTTGTTGGTCGGGGGAGGAGTCACCTGGCCAGAGAGGTCTTGGAGCGGAGTGTGGAAGCAAATCTCCCTCCCAGAGCATCCCATGGGTTCGGGCTTCACCAATGACACACTGGCTCTTTCGCGTCGCTGAACCCCACATTTGAAGACTTGCCCCAAACAAGCTTTCCCTCATTATTTCTGGTTGTTACCATCACTCCACTTCAGTTCTGCGTGAGCAGGTCCTCATCTAACCACACACTCCCCCCTCTGCCCTGTTAGCTCTTCAGTACAACCTACTACCCTGAGGGGACCTAGGACAAGGAAGGACACCCCCAGAGGACCCAGCAGGCTTCCCTCTTTAGGCCTCTCTACTAAAGGGGACAAAAGCCACCAGGTCTTTCCCTCCCTCCCTCCTTCCTCTCTTCCTTCTTTCCTTCCCCTCCCCCCACTTCCATCTGTTTCCCTCTTCCTCCTTTTTTGGTAGTGTCTCACATGCAGACTAAGCTGTCCTTGAACTCACAGCCCTCCCACCTCAGACTGGAGTAGCTAGCCAGGGTAGATGGGATTGCACACATCTCCTCCTTTTTAATAGACATTTCCATCTAACCATATTCCCCGTTCTGTGCTTATGTAACCATTTTTTTTGGAGCCTGACACCGGCTTTAGCACTCATCCTTGGTGAGTTTCATCTTGTTGGTCTCAACCCAACTTTACAATCTGTCAGGGCTGCCTTGAATCTGCTTCACTTGCCCGTTGTATCAGCACCATTACCACCGCAGCCAGGAGCCATCTGTGGGGCAGGGAGGCTTCGGCCACCTCCGTTCAAGGAACTCCTGACATCTGCAGGCAGCCCAGGGTTGAGATGGAGCTGGGACATCCCCGAGAGGACCCCCGCCCCCATTTTACCAGACTCAGTCAGTCCCAAGTCCCAGCCACTACAATCCTGCTCATGTTTCTCTTGTTTGTAAGGAACAAATGCCGAGTGAGCGCTGTGCTGGATCAAGATAGGTGGTCTGGACCAGTCAGTTGCAATGATTGACTTGAGAGGCAGTTTGGTTGACATTCAATGGTCACAGCTTAATCTTTACTTAAATAGTCACAGTCACGCACCTAGAAACCTGTTCTGGAACTCAACATGCATGGATGTCAACTCATTGTTTTCAGAATTTACCATTTACCCCTCTGGGTACAATGGAGTATCGGCTCTCGTGAGGTCAATCTATTCACCCATGGCTTCCCTGGACACTTGACACTTCGTGTTCAAGGCACAGCTGCGAAGTGTGTCTGCTCACCAGCCACCCCTTCCTCTCTCCAGCAGACATGTGCCCCAGCGCCATGCCCAGCCAGGCGCAGCCCCAGCCCCAGTGACCAGCCTCCTTGCCAGAACTTGTCACCGGCAGAACGTTCCGTTCTGGACCCTCTACCCCATGCACCAGTGTGGCTCACTCATTCCCTGGCTCAACTGTCAGAGACCCCTCCCTAACTACCTATGTATCCTTCAACTAAACTTTGGAAAGAGGCGACTCTGCCAGCACTCTGTCCTCTCCTCCCTCCTCCCCTCCCCTCCCCCTTCTCCTCCCCCTTCCTCTTTCTGTCTCTCTCCCTACCCTCAGCACTGTTGGGTGAACCCAGGGTCTAGAACACACTAGGCATCTGCTCTACCACTGGACTCAGCTTTTCTTTTTCTTACTTTTTTTTTTTTTAATGTGATGGAAATGGTGACCTTTATTTAAAAAAAAAAAAAGGGGGGGGGTGTGGGGGGTTTGGGAAGATGGCTCCTGGCTGCGGTGGTGGTTAAGCACACTGGCTGCTCTTCCAGAGGTCCTGGGTTCAATTCCCAGCACCCACAATGGCAGCTCACTACTGTCTGTAACTCCAGTTCCAGGGGATCTGGCACCCTCACACAGACGTACATGCAGGCAAAACACCAATGCACATAAAAGAAAAGGAAGAAAGAAAGAGACGTGAGACAGTACACCGTGAATAGGCAAACACTCAAAGCCTCTCCTTTGAGACAGAGTCTAATGTAACCCAGGCTGGCCTCAAACTCTCAACCCCACCATGTTGTTGAAGACGACCTCACACTTCCGATCCTCCTGTCTCCACCTTATGAGTTCTGGTATACCCTGCATGTGCTATCACTCTTGCTATACACAGGGCCATGGACTGAACCTGACCAGGGCTTCTTTTTTTTTTTTTTTTTTTAAGATGTATTTATTATGTATACAGCATGTTTGTCTGCAGGCCAGAAGAGGGCGCCAGATCTCATTACAGATGGTTGTGAGCCACCATGTGGTTGCTGGGAATTGAACTCAGGACCTCTGGAAGAGCAGCCAGTGCTCTTAGCCGCTGAGCCATCTCTCCAGCCCCCACCCAGGGCTTCTTGTATTCTAGGTAAACACCTTGTGTACAGAGCTGCATCTCTAGCTATATGATGATGATGATGATGATGATGATGATAATAATAATAATAATAATAATAATAATAATAAATATTTAATAATATATAATAATATTATTATTACTTTTTTGTTTTTGTTTTTGTTTTTCCAGACAGGGTTTTTCTCTGTGTAGTTTTGGTGCCTGTCCTGGAACTCATTCTGTAGACCAGGCTTGGCTTCAAACTCACAGAGACCCACTTGCCTCTGCCTCCTGAGTGCTGGGATTAAAGGCGTGCACCACCACCACCACCACCACCACCACCACCACCACCACCCAATTATTATTACTTTTTGAGACATCATCTCAAAATAAGTTGCCGAGGCAGGCTGCGAATTTGTGATTCTCCTATCTCTACCTCCAGAATAGCTGGGATTACAAGACTGGCCCCTTCCTTCTATTTTCATTCACAGCCGTGGACATCAATGGCTACTCTTTTATTTCTTGGTTTATTTCATTCATCTTTTTGAATATAAGCCCCATGGGATAGAGACTAGCTTTGTTTACTGCTCAGCCCTCAGCCCACTTTGGAATAGTTCTGTTATTTGCTCAGAAACCATTCCTGGCCAGGCAGTGGCACATGCCTTTAATCCTAGTACTTGGGAGGCAGAGCCAGGCCTCTTTAGTTCGAGGCCAGCCTGGTCTACAGAGCAAGTTCCAGGACAGCCAGGGCTACACAGAGAAACCCTGTCTCGAAAAACAAAACAAAGCAAAAAACCCCAAACATGTCTGGAACATGTGAATCAACAAACCCCTAGAGGATAGCCTGACCCAACTCTGTCCCCCACTCCAGTCCCCCAGCTGCCTTCTACTCCTCACCCCCTTTCCTGGCAGAAGACCTGTTTCCTCAGAAGGAAGGGCATCAGGATGACTGCAGGGGACATCTGCTGTCCCCCCTGGTGAGACACTGCTCTCCTCAAACTGAGCTCAGCCCCTCTGCCTCCAGATCTCTTTAAAGGTCTTTGTTGGGGGAAGGGAGGGAAGACAGGAATGCCATGTCCCAAGTCTTGGACTATTTTGAGGTTTGTCCCTCCAAAGTTATGCAAAACGCACAGCTTACAGCTGCCCATCAGGGAGCCAGGCATGATGGCTCATGTCTTTAATTCCAACACCTGGGAAGTTGAAATAGATTGATCTCTTCGGGTTCGAGGCCAGCCTGGTCTACACAGTGAGCTCCAGACTAGCCAGGGCTACATAGTGAGATTCTGTCTCAAAACAAAAAACTAAAGAGATACAAAACTGCCTACCAGAAACCCAGCCTTCCTTCTCTGGTGCTCCTGCCCACTGAGTCTCATGGGAGGCCCTTCCTTCACTCCTTCCCGCTCCCTCCACCCGCTACCCTACTCTCTACTCCATTTGCTACCTTGTTGGTAGAGACTCATTCTGCTCCAACTCTCAGTCCCCACAAACGTCCCTTCACTTCCCGACTTTATCCTCAGATCCAAGGCAGCATGGTGGCTACTGATATCAACCTCTTTATTAGGCAGTAGGAAAGGGGATGTGCCTGCTCTGCTGGGAAGGGAAGACCACGGGTAGAGTTTGAACCCGTGGAGTTCTGAGCAGGGCCAAGCGGTTGGAATCAGGAGGTGAAGCAGGCACCCAGCTTCCCTCCATGACTGAGCACTGGTGTCCTCACTCCTGGTCATCTTCCTCCAGAGGTGGTCGATTCCGCTTGAAGAAGCCAGCCTGGAGGGGAGGGGCACAGGAGCTGGAGTCAGGCAGAGACTGGCTACACACCCCAGGCAACCACTGAGGACGTCTGCTAGAAACCAGCTGCCTAGAACCCGTGCAATGGAGCTGCAGCCCCAGCATGAGAATGGGGATTTTTTTAATTGGGAGAT